AACTATTGGACGGCGATTGTCGCTTAGCCTTAGAATTAAACTGATTAAAGGGAGTTTATGGGGCTGCCACCCGATCTCACTCGTCTAGGGCGTCTATATGGTCGAAACTTTTAAAGCCGTCTTTTTTTTAACTTGTTTAAAATATGGAAAGAAGTATTTATTAGTGTGTTGAAACTTTTTTTGTTTTATCTGATTAAGTTGGTCCTTCGAGCGTTGTGCCCCTCCCCGACTCCGTCAGGCAACCAGGAGACGGTCAGACCTCCGATGAATAAGGTCGGTGGCGCCTGGCCCTCGCGCTGTCCACAGTTGTTGCCGGAGACAAAGAGGTGGACCAGGCAAGGCAGTCAGCTAGGGTCCCATCTGGGTTGCCAGAAACTGTTGTCCCCAAAGGACAGTAAGTTCGTGCCCGGTGCGCTTGTGCCAATAAACATACAGGGGTGGAGGATCCAACTTAATCTTTATTTCTGCGCAAAAAATGGTGCTTAGCAATCATTCGCAAAGCAAGCACCCACACCCCAGTGGGTGTCTGCCTTATATAGCTACGTAACAGGTTAAACTTGCTGATGTGATGAAATGTGTAGCAAGCCCAGCAAGTAACCCCCCTTCCAGCTCCCCCCCAAGTAACCCCCCTTCCTTCCCCGGGACTTTGTTGATACAGCTTTTCCTTCTAGCGAGGCCAGCAATTAAACAACTAAGCAACAAGCGATCTCCCCCAGCCTAAACAACCTACTCTATGCCCTTGGTTAGATAAAATACTTTTTCAAAACATACAAAGCTGTTCCCGAAGTAGAAAATGCATAGTGAAAGTTCAGGGGTGCTCATCAGCCCCAGTCCCCAAGCCCTGGTTTGCCCTTAATGCGCTCTATGGGGTCACCCCTCCAGGCATGCTCAGTGCATCCCTCAAAGGTGCATAGTGCCTCTCTCATGAACTATGGGATCGCCCCTCCAGACATGTGTGTGCACCCCCCACAGGCACTGTAGGATTTCCCCTCTCAAGCATTATGGGATCGCCCCTCTGGGAATGCTCGGTGCACCCCTCACAGGCTATAGGATTACCCCTCCCAGGCACTATGGAGAAACTTCTGTTCCTAGAAATGTAGGCTTAAAAGGAAACACAAGAGATCATCTAGTCAAAACCCCTGCGCCAAGGTGGAGTAGCTAGACCACCCCTGAAATGCTTGTCTAACTGGTTCTTAAAAACTCCCAGTGAAAGAGATTCTGTCACCTCCCTAGATGGCCGTTCTAGTGTTTCACTACATTAACCATTAGACATCTTTTCCTACTATCCAGCTTGACTCATCTTTGCTCCAAAATTAACTGATATCTCCTTTTCCTTCCCCTAGCGACTATGGGAAATGATTGATTGCCATCCCTTTTATAACACGTTTTACATATTGGAAGACTGTTATGTCCCTTTCTTTTTTAGATTAAAACCAGTTCCTTCAAGTTTACTTCATATAGGTCATGTTCTCTAGTCCTCTGATCATTCTTGTTGCTTTCCTCTGGATTCTCACCAGTTTATCCACATCCTTCTTTAAGTGTGGTACCTAAAACTGGAAACAGTATCCCGAACGAGGCCTCTTTGTAACACATCTCAAAGTGAGATTTGGCTTTTTTTGCAACAGCATCGCATTGTGATTGACTCAGATTTAGTTTGTGGTCCATTCATGTCACATCTACTGCTTCCCCTTAACTACCAGGCCAATTATCCTGTTAAAAAGGAAATGAGATAAATTTGTCCAGAACAAATCGTGTCAAATCAGTGTTGGCTGATGGTATCACTTTATCTCCTAGGGACTTGCAAACTGATTGTTTACTTGTATGTTCCAAAATCTTTCTGGGGATTAAAGTTAGGCTGAATGGTCTATAACTCTTTGATTCCTCCGTTTATAAAATTAGGCACTATGTTTGCTCTTCTCCCATCCTCTGGGGCCATCCCCATCCACTATGAGTTCTCAGAGATAATTGCTAATGGTTCAGAAATTGTTTCAGCTAGTTCTTTTAAGTATTAGAGGGTGAATTTTATCAGGCCCTGCTGACTTGAACACAGTCTATCTCATCTAAATATTCCTTAACCTGCTTTTCTAGGTCCTTGTTAAAATGAATTTAATTAAATAGCTAGTCACAATTTCTCCTTTTTGAAGGCTGAAGGCAACATCAAATACACCGGGCTCTTCTGCATCATTCATTACTTCCTCTTCTTTCCCATTTAGTAGTGGGCCTGTCCCTTCATATTCTCTCTTATTTTTCCTGTATTCATAGAGCTGTTTCTTGTTTTATATCCCCTATTATCTGACAACCAGTTTGCACCTCAGCCTTTCTGATTTCATCTGCACAGGTTTCTGCTATTTCTTTATATATAATCATCCTAAATTATGTGCCCTGGTTTCTACTTATTGTATGATTCCTTTTGGAATGTCTCGTCATTGAAAGGCTCCTGATGCAGCTCTAATGGCCTCACAAGTTTTCCCAGCTTTTCTTTGCATTAAGATTGTATTCAATACACAGTGACAAACTGTCTTTCAGTAACTGCCAGCTCATCTGCACTTCTTTTATTATTATGACTTTCTTCCCAGACAATCCTACCTACCAGTTCCTGGAGTTTGTTGGAAGTCCATTATCTGCATAATGCTGCTCTTACCATACTAAGAAAAGGAAGGTGTTAATTCTGTAATTTCATGATCACTTTTATCCAATTGACCTTCCACCTTTAGAATCAGTTCTACCACAAATAGCCAAAACTTACTAAAAAAAATTATCAACCTTCCCCATTAACTTCTTCCTGCTTCTGAAACAAAAAGTTGTCTCCAAGAGTTGCAGGAACATGATGGAGTAACTGTGTTCTGCTGTATTGTCTTTCCAGCAGAGACTTCCTTAACCCAAAGTCCTCCATTACCACCAGGTTCTATCCTTTAGATGTTTCTGATAATTACACTTTTTTAAAAGTCTCATTCACCCCTTTTTTGTACGCTATAATATTCTGGTATCACCTCTGTTCCTCCATCCACTACCACACACCTTTTATTTTCATCTAGACAATCAATAAGCTTGCCTCTCCCCTTTTCATGGCAAGTATATACATTCTTGATGCACAACCAAACACTTACTACTCTTCTATACCAATATGCCAGGCCTACACTTTGTCCCAACAAGTCTTCATAATCTGGTGATGACAGCTGTAGTTGTATACTAATACTTCTTGTTTGTCTTTTTCAGTCCTTGGATGCCTATTATTTGTGTTTAGGCATCTCAAATATTCAGCAGGTTGCACTGTTCAGTTTATTCTCAATCTTGTCTCATTTACAGTGCTGTTTCAGTTTCCCATTCCCTTTTCCCTCCTTGCCTTCCTCCATCTGTGCTGGCAGTTGTCTGAGATGGAATCATGGGGTCAGAGGAGAGATCTAGCCCAACCCCCTGCATGCATGCAGGATTTACTGCTACCCTGTAGATGAGTTGCTAGAGACTAGAAAGCTCTCAAGCCTGAGTCAGGCTAGCCATTACTCTCTTCCAAAGATTGTGACCAAGCCCCACCAGTCATTTGCAAATGAGATGTGGAAGACAAAGGTTGAAAACTTGTGAACACCCATCACTCAAGCTTTCCATTAGCTACCACGAAGTACTTATCATACAGATTCATGAAAAGCATTTCTCTGGAGTCATCTTCAAGGGTGGCCCATATAACATATCTTCTCTTCACTAGACATTAACTAACTAATGCAGGAGTCGGCAATGCTTTTAGGCAGAGTGCCAAAAACACTGCCAACTTCAACTTGTAAGAAGTTGGCATGCCAGGGGTGGACGGTGGGGGAGCCACAAGGGGCCCAATCCTTGTTGTGGTAGCGCAACCCTGGCCCCTTCCCCACCATCCACCCTGAAGTGCATGTGCCAAGCAAAATGCCTTTGCATGCCAGGCTTTGGCACCTGTGCTGCGGGTTGCCTACCCATGAACTGCTTTTCTCTCCAAAGGATCTCAAATTTCTCTACAAAGTAATGTTCAGATGTCGCTAAGGAATTGCTTCTTCCAGCACCTACTGAAACGTGCCTTGCCCTGACATGCCAGACAATTTAATAGATCACCATTCAACTGCCAGATAACTTAATAGATCACCATTCAACAGCCCTACCTGAGGCCCAGCCCAACAAGCAGCATTCAGGCAAAGTACTGCACTCACACGGAGCTCTCTTCTGACCTCAGTGAAACTCTACTTGGGAGCTGCAGTCATCTGCAAACATTACAGCTGTGTAGAGACCTAGCATAGGGCTTATAGGCCACTTAGGTCTCCTTTCAGACCTTGTAACAGGGTTCACAAGGAGGTGCTTGTTTGTTGTGAGGCAGCGGCCATCTCTGTGTTCTGTGCTTGTGCTTGGCACAGACCAGTGCGACTCCAGGCCATAAGCAGGGCCTTTAAGTGTTTCCATAGTAGAATAATATGGGTAGTGCATAGTTCCTGTGCTGACTCTCTGCACAGACTGTCAGGGTGAAATTCAGTTTAGGACAGGAATACGTTGTATTTGGTTGAAACGACAAGGGAGACTTTAAGTAGGAAGAGTGTAGCTACTTAAATTGCACAAGGGTAAGCAATCTAAGGCATATGCAGACAAATTAGTTACCACGAAATGAAAAGGGGTAGGGATTTACTATGCATCAGCTGTTCTGCAATAACTGCCTCTGTGTGTGTCCTCTTACCCCTCAACAGGTGAATCTGGAATCCTAGTCCTCTTT